TCTGTGGAGCTGTCATTGCCTGCGAGGGACAGTGAGAGAAATGCCTCGAAAGGAGGCCCTTGGGGCTCCCAGCAGGGAACGGGAGCCCGGCACTGCTGGGGGTGGCCATGGTGGTGAGCCCCCACGGGCAGCCCAGGCCTTACCGTTCCCTGGGGGCAGTCCCACAGGCAGGGCCTCCCTGAGCTGCCCGCCGTCTCTGCAGAGCGAGGCCATGCTAACCATCTGGATGCTCTCCTTGGTGTCTTGGCCAGCAGCGGGGCAGGGTGCCCAACTGCCTGTGGGACCCCTGCCAGGCACTGCATGGGGCCGGGCACCCATCGGCTCGAGCGGCTCAGCCTCGCATCTCTGCAGTGTGGGCCAGGGCTGGTCCCTGTCCCAGCCAGCTGCCACCGGCCCTGGCTCCACACTCTTCCGCTTGAGGAAGAGGTACACGGCCTGCGGCGTCACCCGGATGTCATCCAGCTCCAGCACCTTCTTGATCTTGCGGAAGCTCAGCCCGGCCCTGCGCAGCTCCACGATCCTCCTCTTGGCGTGGTCGTCCAGCCGGCCCATCGCTCCGGCACCCCTCCTGCACTCAGCACCTACATCCCTGGAGCGCAGCCGCTGCAGGGATGCCAGCAGCCCCCCAGGCAGCACTTAGACCTACAACAGTGCTCGGGCTCTATTAGTGCTCTGCTGCCAGGCTGCCAGCCCTGGCCATGGGTCCACACGGTGCCATCCCCATCTTCCAGCAGTGACCCAGTTCCCAGCCGGAGAGGAGGAAGGAGGCAGCTCTTCCCACTAGAGCAACTAGAGACAGCCAAAAACCCGTCCCTTGCTCACGTGGAGCCCCCTCAGAGCAGGGGGTCCAGCCCAGTCCCCCAGTCCTCCAAGGGCACAGAGAATGGTAACGGGGTCAGCTCTGCCCAATGTCCCAAACTGGACATCAATTCCTCACTGCCAACAGCACAGTGCGGAATCAGGACCGGTCAGGATCCCGAGCTCAATATCCCGGGGAGCTCAGGGCGAGTCCTGGCAAGCGGCGGTTCATCGCACAAGGCTGGCAGGTCCCCGCTGGAGCTTCGCGTCTCCGGGATGGCCTGGAAGGTTACGGCGAGCACAACCGGGGATAACCTCGTTGACAACTACTGTGTGGAAACTGTTGGTGCCACAGAGCCTGCCCTTGGAGTCTGGAGATGACACTGTCCTGTACCTTTGGGAGAAGCAAAAGCAATGATTTATACACCACTCGTCAAGAAGGCACAACTATAAGTGTAATGACCATACCTCCTGTGCTTCCCCTTTCTCCCCATGTACACAGCCTCAGCTGGTGGTGTTCGTTGGGTGACGTTGGCTCAGGATGTGGTGACAGTCACTGTGTGTGCATGGGTGGGTGTCGTGGGGACCATGCTGCTGGTACGGCCCCTGCATGTGCGTCTCCTCTGGGTTGCACCCTGGAGCAAAGCAACGTGGCAGGACCAGTCCCTTCCCTTGCTGCAAGCATCACAGCGGGGCCAGGTCAGGATGGACAGTGCTTGGAGTTGTGTATATGTGTGTACATACACTTCTACCTACATGGGGACTGTAGTAGTTTAACCCAGCAGCTGGCAACTAAGCACTAGCCAGCCACTCACTCACCCATGA